CCATAAGTATGAAATTCTGTTGAGTTCATGAGAAATTATCCTTGGATCCATGATTCTGGCAAATTCCCAGAACAGGAAACTTGCTCATGTGAGAATGTACTGGTATCCATAAACCACTCGCTGACAGACAGCTATAACGTTATTGTCCTATGTCTCTGCTGCCTTTGTGGAAGGTATTTCTCACCCACTATTAGAATGGCATGTGTTTTTTACTTTTATTGTTTCCCCGATTAGTGATGTATTTCCCTGTTTGAACTGAGCTATCCATGTTCTGTCTTTTCTTTCTTTTTAGACTACTGGAATTTATTTCAGGAGATTCAACTTCAGTTTGTGTTTTAGTTATTTATTTTTTATTTTTTTTATCCTCACCCTACGACATTTTTCTATTTTTTGTTCAGATAGAGTGGGAGGGAGAGAGAGAGAGAGAGAAACATTGACGTGAAAGGGACACATCAAATGGCTGCCACCCGCACAACCCAACCCGGGCCGGGGACAAACTGCAACCGAGGTACGTGTCCTTAGCGGGAACCGAACCTGGGTCTCTCTGGACCACAGGCCAACGCTCTAACCGCTGAGCCAAACCGGCCAGGGCCAGTTGGTGTTTTAATTTCTGAGAAAGAAACAGGTAGCTCATCAGATACATAAATGCATATATATCATCAATTATTGCTTCAGATAGTGTACTAGATGTTCTACTTCACCTCAAATATAATTACAGTGTTGACATCAACTCTAAAAATAAGGATCTGAGAATATTAAAATGTTTTAATTAAACAAATGAACTATTGAACAAATGAGTTATTCAGACTAGATATTTACATGCTACTTCTTTTAGTGGTCACAAAATTCATTCTATCAGATATTTGCAATCGCTTTACACTGTGATATTTCTGGGAAAAAACCTATCAGTTCTAAAACTAGAATAGAGAAAAAGTAGTTTTGCCGAAGTAATCCTATTTTCGGTGAAGGTGATTGGATTCCTGACTCGATTTTTAATTTACCAAGCACCTTGGTTCCAACCAAAAAAAGAAACTTTTATCACTGCCAATTATTAAAACTAGAAAAAGTTACTAGTTATGTAAAAACTGACCAACACCTTGGCTATACTTACATCATACAAGACTTTGAGTTAGAATTTGAATTTGTAAGTTTTTATTTTAAAGACGACGGTCTGACAGATATTTAAATGTACTTCAACCACATTTCAATCTAAATGTCATTTAAAAGCCAAGATCATTGCTACCTACGGTGTTGTACACTTCTGCTTTGTGTAAGGCTTAATAACACTCTTAATTAGGCTAATTTTAGTCAGATTAATACTTGTGTGTGTCAGCACTAACTACTAAATGCCACATACTGCAGGATTTTAATTAATGCTAAACAAAGGAAATACTCACAATGTAAACATTTTTGAACTGAAAAAAGCTAAAATGAAGCATGTCTAATCATGGCATACGGATAAATCACAGTGATATCACTGACTCTAAATTTTTGGTGAGTTAAGGTTGACTTTTAAATAAATAAATCCCTTCGTATATAATGTTAGAGAAAATACAGTCTTGATAAAACACTCTGAGCATATCAAACCTTTGTCTTTCACAGTTCTGGAAGTTTGGGAGGTTTTTTAAATAGTTGGTACTGTGATATGCTTCTTGATTTCTTTAAGTGATAAACTCATGAATGTCATATCTTGAACCAGAAACTCCTCTTTCCTTGCATTGTTTATAAGATAGATTTTAAAACAAAGTTTATTTTTTCCTTATTAAGTGAGATTTCCCCATTCCTCAGTCTTGGCTTGGGCTGTGGTTATCTACATCAAACTTAGACATCGGCATTGTCTGCACCATCAGCCTCTGTGAACACGGTAGTCCCTGGAAGGGGCATGACCGAGTGGCACGGAGTGGGTATCTAAGGAGTAACAGCCCATTGTGGTGACAAATACTTTTTTCATTCACTTAAGAGCCTTATTTGGAAATAACAATAAGGATACCAAATTAACACAGATAATTTAACTTACACAATCTAACAGCTATATATAGCTGGTAATACTAATACTACTATTACTACTACTACTAATAATAATGGTGATGTAATGGCCTAAGAATTAGAATATCTGAATTCAAATGACACATTATCTTTGAGACCCTTGACCTATCAAATGCTGGTTTATCATGAGTTTAAATGGGACATATTATATTAAGGGTGCCTATGTTCAAATTAAGAACTCATAAATGTTTGTTCATAATTTATACACATATATCACTCACATTTTTAAGGTACTTGTGTACAAAGTGACAGGAAATTTTAATATTAGACTAATTCACGTATGTCAGTTGTGATTAAAAAAAACACCCTAGGTTTGGGCTTATTTATCGTGATGAAACATAAGTTTTATAATCATAAGCAGAATACAGAAAACTGAAATACACATCTACTTAAAAGGATGCATATCATCATCCTTCTTTATATTCCCATAGCAAAATATTAAGCAATGGAATGATCAAGTCTGTAAGTGGACAAACGGATGGAGTCTGGTTCAGAAACAACTGAATTCAGGATTCTGTACACAGCGGAGTAGGGCTCAGTTTTCTCAAATGAGTCGTGGTTTTTCTTTTGCTGCCCAACAACTCCGTTACCAATCTTGAAGGGAGTCACTAATTCATTAACATCAAACAATATATCCGATAACTCTGTCAAACTTGCCTCTATCCAGAAAAAGTATTCTATCTTTTTTAAAGAATAGACACAATTTCTAATATGCAAGATTGGAGAATTGTTCAAGAGAAAGTGACCTGTGTTTAAAATGAATTTCAGATTTCGTGTTCTCAGGCCATGCTGTACAGCACATTTTTCTTGAAGAAGCCCAATTTAAGAAATTTTTTTGTAAGTAAGCAAAACTGGACGTTCAGACTGGATTTTTATGGTACTTGTATACCAGACTGCAAATCGTTTTGGCATTTCACAATATACGTTTACCTCCACGCTGTCTTGCATTCATTCTGTTTTAATAACGTACTTGCTGAGAGTATGTACAATGTCTTACTTTTCTTTTGTATCTTAAATATTGTTGGGCATTCACTAAATACTGGTTTGGTGACTTCTACATTGGCACACACACACACACACACAACTTTTTAAGATTTAAGGATTGTCAAAACCTATTAATATTTATAGTTTGCCTAAACCTAATATGATGAATAATGTCTGGGTTTGGCTTAGGAAATAAATCAGAAAAACGTATGTACTAAAGGCCTCTATAACTGAAGACGACAAGATAAGATAAACTAAGGTGAGGTTAGTTACTTTGAGTTCTTTCCAAAAACAAATCGACCCTGTGATGTGCTCTGGAATAATCTTGCTGATGGCACTGTTAAATCACAGGAAGCACACACATTAAAATGTAACTTCTATAAACAGAGCAACACCAAAAAATATACTAATGGGTTACTGGAAGACTGCACAGTCCCCACAGATCTCTAAGAAGGAGGAATTAAGAATAAGAACAGGTTAACAAAGAGAAAAGAATCTTTAAAATGCCTGGCCCTGACTATTTCAATGGAATTATTTCTCAAGTAGACAGTAAGACATCAGGTTACCATTTTGTGATCATTCTTAAGAGTTTGCAAGTCCCTTAAGGGTTTAATTCCCAGTCAGGGCACATGCCCAGGTTGTGGGCCCAATCCCCAGTGGGGGGCATGCAGGAGGCGGCCAATCAATGTTCTCTTTCATCAATGTTTCTATCTCTCTTTCCCTCTCCCTTCCTCTCTCTCTAAAATCAGTAAAGAAGAAGAAGAAGAAGAATAAGAAGAACAAGAAGAAGAACAAGAAGAAGAACAAGAAGAAGAAGAAGAAGAAGAAGAAGAAGAGAGTTTGCAAGTCCCTTTGCTTTCCGTTTATGCCTACCGAAGGATTGCAAATGATGACTCAACAGTATCTAATGTTAAGAGAGCTTTCACAATGTGTCAGGACTATGCTTCAGGCACTGATGTCATCCTGAGTGATTTCAAAAGTCTTACAGAACAGAGGGACCCAAAGTTTACCTAGGGTGTGCCCCTCAATGACAATAATAAGTGAATGAGAAGACTAGTTTAGGTGGTTTTTCAAAGTCACCCAGGAGCACCTCAGTGACAGAGCAAGGGCAGAGGTCCAGATATCAGATTCTTAGGCTGATCCTGGTTTTACTAAACCAGCACTGACCTCACGTCATTGCCAAGGGACCCCAGCTAGGGTCATGCAAAGTGATCACAATGAGCTTCAGCTCCTTCTCACCCATTTTAATCAGAACATTTATCTTATGGTCCATTAATTGTGTTGTAAGTGAGACATCCTAAATCTTTTTCTTTTTGCTAAAAAATGAGAGTAGAGCTTTGATGTTCTCAACCATAACAACAACAACAACAAAATGGTAATGACGTGAGGTAAAGAATGTGTTAACTAACTCTACTGTGGTAAATGTTTCACAATATGTATACCAAAGCATCACACTGTATACCTTAAAATTACACAATGTTATATGTCACTTATATTTCAATAAGCTGGAGAAAAATGTTGGAAAATTCTTGCTATATACCTTACTATTTGAAAAAGTACTATATTGAAGCTGTTAATTAAAGTACTAATTTTTAATAAATTTTACTACTGGTTTAGAAGTTGATGCCTCCCAAGTATAGACTCACATTATTCTTTGGGTTCATTAACCGCATTAATGAACAACATTCTCAACATTGACTTTAGACTGAGGACCACCTCACTTAAAGATGGATAGGCCATTTGGTGGTACTGGAAGTGTCACCATGTCTTTCTATCAGGTGTATTTACTGAGGAAGCATAAAGAATGGGAAGAAATGGGACACTGATATTTCATAAAGATGACCTGTTATCACTCTCAAATTCACCTTCTACCCAATTTGTCAAAATCAGACTTTCCTGTAGAACATATAAGTGTATTTTTATTTTAAAAAGTTGCAAATAATTCACTGGTGATGGTAAATTGTACTTACGAATGCATGTCAACAGAAATGGTCCATCTCTCTTAGAAGGAAATAGACAGGTGCTGAAATATTTCATACATGGAGCCAGAATTAATACTGGTAGAATGCTGATGACATTCATTACTGCAACTGGCAGGAGAAATCCATCCAAATTCAGGTTGGAATTCATGGTCTGCAGATAAAATCCTGAAGGAATCTGTATTTGAGGGGGCAAAGGAGTCGCGCATTAAGGCAGTGGTTTAACTTTGGAGAAAGAGTCCTGCAGCGGATGCCTTGTTCTCTGTGACAGATGATCTGAATATTCTTTAAGGTCCCAATTATGAGCTGTCGAAGGGCAGGAGGAACTCTGTTTATTCTACTGACAACACTACTGATTTTTTATGGAGAAATCTTTTGTCATCTAGCCTATCTTCTTAACTTTCCTATGACAAGTAAAAGTGGCCCTAATTCTGTGCTTAGACATAAGAAATCAAGTAACTTAAGGTTCCCATATAGCTTTTTTTTTTTTTTTTTGGAACAATAAAGCAAAAACAAGTAGAGAGTATTTAGAATGTTTGTTTTCATCTTGATGAAAAAAGTTTGGGGTTAGACTAGATCCTTTAATTTTTTTTTTAGAGAGAGAGGAAGGGAGAAGGAGAGAGAGATAGAAACATCTATGTGAAAGAACATCGACTGGCCACCTCATGCACACTCCCTACTGGGGATCAGGCCCACAACCTGGGCATGTGCCCTGACTGGGAATTGAACCAGTGACCTCTTGGTGCAAGGCTCGATGCTCAACCACTGACCACACTGGCCAGGCTAACTAGATCCTCTAAATAGCATATAGTTTAGAAGTATGATTTTTTCTTAAGAAGGGCCTATGGTGGAAACAATACTTGTTGGAGACTGAGTTTGTGGGCTCCCTGGATTAGATTCATTCCTAACATGAGCCAAACAACATGAGAAAAAGGAAGACATATGTGTGGCTTTACTCTCCTTTTAAGTCAATTGTGTGGCACTAGAGGACCAAATAGGGAACTACATGAAAAAGGTTTGTATACTAATGTAGCAGATAAGAAATTAAACAAACACACAAGCAAAACCTCCTCAGCCCCACCCCAAGCTCTCAAAATCTTGTTAGAATTTCTTCATTTTTAAAATAACCTGAATACTAACTAAAGCTCTAACCCTAATTTGGAGCCTCTTCATATATTCCAAATGTGTTGTTATGTTATAATATCAGAACTAAAGCCCATTGTCACAGAAAAAGGGGGCCTCTCCACACTTTTCTAGTTTATGAGTTTCGCTGGAATAATCACATCTTTATCATTATCATTAGCAGGACACAGTATTTCTTTCATTCCCAGTGGCATATAAAGCTACTCAGTGGCTTGGAGAGAAAGTCAATCCAAGTCTTGTCCTTGAGGAATGGATCCTCCAATTTTTCTTGACAGTGCACTGAACTACCTTAAGATTCCTGCCTTCCTGCCATCCTGGGAGAGCAACCTTGCTCGAACATCCACATGACAACTTCTTGTTTGAAACCTTCACTAACCTCTTCTCTATTACCAATTGTGCAATTTGAGAGGGTCTAGGGGATTCAGAGTCATAAGTCAGTACAGTTATTAACGAGTCCACCAATTGTGAAATGAGCCTATTGCTAAGTTAACTGCTTAAACCCAGAAGTGGACCACAATTCCAATGAGAATTTTTTTTCTATCTGTATGAATATCCCGGTGATAATTTATTTTCCAATCTTTAATTTGCACCATGGGGTTGTAAATAAGGATTGTTTAGATTGGGTACAGATGGCAAGAGTGAAGGGAACATTAGCTAGTTCTGCCCCAGTTCAATAAAAGTGTTAGGCATGTTTCACCCAATCAGAGGAAAATGAATGATGTTTTTCAAAAAAGTACTGGCGACAAAACCACTGTAAGACTAAAAGGCTCCCAGCACTACCTGGAAGTTTCTGTTACTGATTTCAAATGAGAATTATTGTTAATAGAAATAAAGTTATTATCGGCATGAATCACAGACACGGAAACCTGTTAACTTAATAATGTGGCCAATGTACTATTAATCTTTAGTGAAGCAATATTAATATATTGCCTAATCTAAGAAAAGGCTCCAGTGTCTTGAAAGCTTGAAATCATTTCTGCTTCTGCCTCAAGTTCTGAAATCATCCCCTTTTAAAATTTTAAATACTTTTATTTCAGACAAGCCTCCAAGTATTCAGAAATAATTGCTGTCAATAGAGATTCATTTTCACCTTTGCATGGCCAGTAATGTCAAACGGCAACTTCATCGGCTTTAATATCAACATATTTTAAATGTATGTCTTGGAACTGAAGGTCAATAATGGCTACTAAATTTAAAATATGAAATTCTATGATGTTTTATTCTTGGTTCTTTGATGATCTTTATATCGGTGACTATTTCTTCTGGAGGCAAAAATCTAATTCCAGCCTATCCCAGTGGAAGTTTCCTTTGTCTCTCTTGAGAAATACATTCTAACTATTTTCTTTGAAGTTTCTAACAAACATGATGGTATATAATTTGGAACCTATATAGTCTGTATCAGAGAGGCATTGTGGGTAATACTGTGGATGTTGATCCCAGCCCTGAGTTAGGATTGGGAGCTCTGCAATATATAAGTAGGAGGACCTTGAACGAGTTGCAAGTCACTTAATGTCTCTGTGCCTCAGATTTTGGGTGCTAGTATGAGCTATGTAGGCTTGCTGTGAGGATTAAATTAGGTACTATGAAATAATCTTTCAGAAGCTATGAAACATATAGGTTATCAATAAGTATTAGTTTTTGTTCTTTGCAATAAAATGGGCATCTAGATTTGGTGAGATGCTTACAACTTAGTTTATCAGAATGTATTGTAATTTAGGTCAAATTAAAAAATACAACATTTTTCAGAGAAGGTTCAGTCAAAAGAAATATTAGGTATTACTACATTATGAAGTTAAAAATCAGTAATTTGTGTTATTTGCAAGGAAAATTCAAGAGTAGCTATGAATCACAGTAATTTTGCACTCATCTTTAATTTCTTCATTCTAAAACATTTTCATGATGTTAATTAACATATATATGGGTAATATTTTGGGGGTTTTGTGCCAACTACTGTTGCGGAGTCAGGAGGGAATTTGAATCTGCTCAGTCAGCCTAGCTTTCATGCCTTGTTTAGAACAAGGGTCATCAAAATTTTCTGTAAAGGATCAGATAGAAAATATTTTCACAAATGGATTCTATTACAGCTACTCAATTCTGCTGTTTTTATGCATAAGTAGAACACACTATGACAAACAAACAAACAAGAGTAACTGTGTTCTAATGGATCTTGACTATGGACACTGAATTTTAAATTTCATGTAATTTTCATGTGCCACACAATATATATATATTTTTTTCAACTATATAAAAATGTAAAAGCCTTCATATTTTATAGGACAAACAAAAAAGGCAGTGGGCTGGATTTGGCCTGCAGGCTGTAATTTGCTGACCCTGGGTTTAGAGAAACAAGCATTATCCTGAGTCACAAGCTATATTCTGCATTTCCTTTCACTGCTATTAATTGTGTGAACTAGTGATCTCCTTCAAAATCACTTGATTTTTCTGAGCCTTAGTTTCCTCTTCAACAAATGAAGTAGTTGACTAAGTTAATCTCTAAGTTTCTTTTCAACTCTGTTTACCTGTGATATGTCAATATAACTCACTCATCAGCAACAAAGATAGTCCCAAATTTCTTCAAAAACTTTTGTAATCATTTGATACATGAGACTATATTAAGAAATCATAACATTTTTTTCATAGTATGTTAGTCTTTGAGAATTACTACATCATAAAAATTTTAAATCTCATATATTTATAAACGATACTTTGGACTTAGTGTTTTTCCTCTGATGTCTCCACAGCACAGGAACTGATTCACCAAGGAACTGAGAGTGGGTAGGGAGAGAATCACTCGCTCATTAGTACTTATACTTAAGAGTATAGTGGGGGTGGTACTCAAATCAGTCACTTTAGCTACTTGTTAGCAGCAGTTTTTAAAGGCTTAATGAGGAAGAAGGCAAAACCTTTGGCTAAAGGGAGCTTGGATAATTGCTCATAGATCTCATTTTTGTTTGCTGCTCTTATGCTTTATAACTACAGGCTCTGAAGTATTGTCTGCACCTACTAACAGACATTTATAGCTCCACAGGAGAAACAGCATAGGGAGCTTCTCCTCAGGTATGCCTCTACCTGACCCCACTTAGCTCTTGAAATTAGAGTCTGTAATGATGAGAAGCATTTACAGTTTAACTGTCCGAAGAAATGTATGGGAAGCTCTTATTCGGATAAGAGTAACTGTTTATTTGTTAACAAACATGCAATTATTGTATTGTTCTTGGGGGGAGTACTAATTACCTTCCTTACCTGCATAATACACAATTTGTAAAGAGGCTGAAAAGCAAAGAGAGGGAGAAGGCTGAAGAAATATTTTGAGTCTTCCACATGGAGCTCACTGTAGCAGCCACCATTTTTTTCCTTGGCGTGGTCTAACCAGTTTGTCAAATCTCTACAGCGATGGCAGTGGCGCAGACAGCATGTTTTCAGTGCATTCACAAACACCCCAAAGGTTGTCAGGAGGGAGCAACCTGCAAATAATTGGAGATAGTATGTGTTAGTAAAGGAATTGTTCTTTCGTTTCCAAGATGTCAATCAGAAAGATGACAATGGTGCAGATGAAGGACAGTAAAGTGACTGGGATGGCTTTGGCACCCACGGGGTTGAACTCAAAGGAACAAGTGCTGACAAGGCTGCTGGCATTCTGGTGACCAGCCCAAGGTGGTGCTTGACAGCTGATGTAAGACATGAAAAAGGTAAGATCAACGGGAACATATTAAAAAGGAAAGAAAGGAGAAAAAACACCAAAGTTAAAATTTTAGAATCTCTCAGAAGTCTCTAACTTGAACTCATTAATGAATAAGACAACTTGAACTTTTTTTAACAGCCTTAACACAAAGAACTGGTCCAAGTTTTTAAAGTATAAAGTGTTATATAAATAATCTTCACTTTTCTTGTCATGTAGAAGGTGGTTTCTTATTTAGACATGGAGATGAAGGGAAACGTGTTCTCTGCTTTGACTTTCTCCTTGAATTTCAGACATAAGGTGAAACTTTGAACTCTTCAGATGGCTTTATACGTGTTGATAGTGTCACTAAAAGTTCAGATTGGATTAGTTGGTTTTTGACTTTTCCAGTCGTTTCCCCTGGGTTTTTGTGGCTGTCGCTTTAGAGTCAGGAGAATTTTATTGCTTTAGATGTTTGCAGTCCTTACTGCTAATGATTTGCAGCAGCATTGTTGCTTCTTTTATGATTCAGATTCCACCTTTTCTTTGACTCCATTAGGGTTTCCTGATACAATGACAGATAGAAGACCCCTGTTCTGTTAACAGTTCAGTTGTGCTATCATGATTGTTACAACTTTTTATAGAACTCCTTTGACCAGATAAATCCTTCCACAGATTACATAGACACCAAATCATAGTTTCAGGATAAATGGTAAAGTAAATGTGAAAACGTCTGAGTTTCTCCAAAGAAGGCTGCTACAAAAACTCAATAGTTTGGTTGTCATTTTGATTATGTTCAAGTTTCCTATAATAAAATTCTAGATGGAATGCATTCTAACCAAGTTCATTTAAATGCCATAGAATTTTATATTTAAATAGAGAATATTAATATTTCTTTTTATGGTTAGAGAGTGATTACATTGATCTGACCTGGTCTTTTTTTTAAGGGTTGTAATAGACCTATTTTGTCGGTCTTTGATTAATTGAGGAAGCTGGGGGCCTGGTAATTGAATATGGAGCCTTTTACCTCTAAGTCACTGAATCAAATCCAGCCCAAATTGTTAGTGACCAAGAATGATTACAGCAGTGGCTCTTTGGTGGCCTCTGTGAAGTGTGTTGAGGTCAAGTGGAAGTATGTTTGGTAATTGCTGACAGGAGATGGGTTCATATCTATAGTCACTATTGTCTTTTCTTAGTTACTATTCCCAGACATAAATAAAAGGCCCAGGAGCTGGAAAGGACAAAGGGACAGAAGCACTTGTGAGTGGCCAAGGTTTGTATTTCTTAGGGAAAAAGTAATAGGTATATCTCTTTATTATTGTAGAAAGAATTGCTCAACTATGAGAATTTCCTGGCTATTTCAATTAGTTTGCTTAAGGTTTTAGTAAAATGAGAACTGAGAATGTCCTGATGAACAGTCTAGAGACCCTACTTAAACAGGTCTGGGCTAGGAGGCTTACCTTTCTGATATTTCCTTATGATGTTGTCTGTATTTCTTATCAACCTGTTCTCTGTTTAACTCTTGTGAAACAGTGCTGTGTAGATTGTAGGATTACTATTGTCATTGATTCAACTTACTCTGTGCTTTCAAACATACTTTGCTATTAAATTACAACCATTTGCAGGATGAGAGACTATTTCCAAAGATATTTTTCTTAATTTTTTCTTCCTATATTTCAAATTGAAGTACTTTATTCAATATTTGTTTTAAAGTCAGTATTTTTTTGGTATAAACAAATCACTATTTATTGTAAGATAATCTGGACCTGCTCTTATGCATCATAAGTTGATACCTATAATTTTATTAAACATTTAAATATCACTATCATATTATTTCTAAAGAGAGATATCTTAGATTAGTGCATCTTAAACTGGCTGTGTTAAAAGATCAGTTTTTAAAAATAACGTTCTTAACTATCATGGTCAATACATTTGTGAAATGAGATAAAAATAAAATAGCAAAAGAATAAAATAAGAAGTAAGAACATATAAAATATAAGTCCTTATATTTTTATTATTAGATTCAACCAACATAAAATGCAACTTCCCTTGAACACTTCTACACATTTTCTCTCAGTGTCTGCATACCAGTAACCCACAGTTTACTGACCAGCTCTGCTCCATGGATCAGGTTTGAGCAGCACTGGCTTCCACTGAATATACACTTTGAAGAGTGAATTTATTTAAACGAGTAAAATTGTATCTAATGTGGTGATATGAAACAACAAAAACAAAATGGTTAAGAACAAGAAATGATTAAGCATGGACGAGTTCTAGAACTTGAGTCAGCTCTGCAAGTGCTCATACTTGATGCCAAACAAATGTGAATGTAATTGTTTATTCATTTAACATATTTATTAATTATCTACTGTGTGTCAGAGACTTCTCTAGGCCTTAAAAACATAGCAGTGAACAAGACCAACAAATCCCTGAGTTTTCTTTCTGGGGAATATTAGGCAAATTCAATGATAAAAATAAAATAGATAAGCGAGGGACGCGTTGTGGGGTTTGGTGTAGAGGAGACTTTAACAGTTGAAATTTAAACTGAGGATTGAACAGACTAAAAGTAAGCAAAGAGCCTTGGGGAGGAAGCATCTGCCAGGCATGTCATGAGCTGGGAGCAGTGCAGGAACAGTGAAGGTCAATGAGGCAGTAGCTCGGTTAGTGAGAAGACTGGGAGGAGACGAGGTCCAAGAGTTGGTCAGGGGTCAGACGTTAGTTTAAAGTAAGAAGCTTGGATTTTATTTTCAGTGTTATTGGAGATCATTCAGATGTTTCATGCAGACTAACGATAACATATAATGTATATATTTTTAAATATTTACTCTGGTAGCTGTATGGATAATAGATTTTAGGAAACAGAGGAGAAGCTGGAAGACAGGCATAGCAGTCGCAATGAAGAGAAGTGAACAGGATGGGATGTGTTTTTTAACAATCAATGGACATTTCCGATGTGTAGAGAGTTTGAAGAAATGAGAAAATTGAGAATGGCTACTCTTCCCACATCCCGCATCCTCCTAAACAACTGGGTGTTGGTGACTTACATTGAGATGGAAAAGACAAGAAAGGAGTCAGTTAGAAGTTAGAAGAATCAAGAGTTGAGTGTTGGTCAGGTTAAGTTTGAGACTATTGGATAACCAAGTGAAAATGTTGAATAGGAAGTCAGATATGTGAGTTTTAAGGTGAGATGAGAAGCTGCTATGAAACTGAGTGCTTGGGAGATTGTTGGCACTGACACTATGGGACTAGAGGTTGCTTGAGGAAAGGGGGTGGAAAAAGAAGAGCCGAGGTTCCTGGAATGAATCCTAGGGCTCTGCATTGATTAGGAGGAGAAAACTTAGCCAAGGAGATGGAAGAAGAGTGAACAATGTGTATTGTAAGGCAGAGGGATAGAGAAGTAATAAATGTACATCTACCAACTGTACTGAAAGAGAACCAATGAGCTGGTTAAGAGGGCAAGCAAAGAAACTGTACAGACACCTGCCTATCTTATCAAACCATAGAGTTGTCACCGAGTGTTAGGAGTTGAAAACATCTACATCTACACATAACACTGCCTCCTTGGATTAATCCATTAGACTTAATAGAAAACTCATGCCTCAGTACAAATAATTTTGGGTGTCGTGTAGAGTCAGCCTTTAAAAAAAAACCCATTGTCATTATAATTCTCAAATTGCTTTTCTGCACCAGGAGAAGAAATGGGAAGTTGGAGAGAAAAAAAAACTGGAATGAAAATGCAACTGAGACTTCAAGCTCCAGTTTAAATGTGCAAGCACACCAGGCGTGCACATTTTAAAATAAAACAGATGAGCTATTTAAAATGTTTTATTGCAAAACTTAAAGATTGTCACCATTACTATTTTAAAAAACTTTAGAAAGCAATTTTTCTATTCTTTATACCTTTAAGTCCTTGGCTCTGATGTTCTGCTCCCCTGACCTTGATCTAATCACGAATATCTGTGCTACTTAATTACAATAAAAAAGCCTACATTGCACTCTAGATGGTGGATGCACATTTCTTTCTTCTTTGGTCACCTGCCAGTTCTCAAAATTATAGCAGTGGGAAGAAATGCAAATGAAGGCTGTGCTTGACAGCTAAACATAATGGAATGCATAGTCCACATTTGAAAAGTTACCTTAAAATAAAAGGTAGCATATAAAAAATCATTTCTTTAAGGTCACCTATGGCTTTGAATTACAGCTTTGAGGAAATTCCAATTTAGTCATCAGAGAGGTAGAAGCCAAAATAAAGATTATATACCTTGCTAGAGGGAAGACAGAGTTGTACTTCATCAGAGTTGGGTGATCTTATAACTTGGAAACAAGACAAAACAAAATCAAAACTTCAAAATATTTGTTTTTTGTTACAATTTTACTAGTAGCCAATAATTTTTTTTTGGTGAAATGTCCATAGAAAACTTACCTTATCACATGTTAAAAAATGTAACATATGGACCACAATAAGCTGGCAGTTAATTATATAGATCTGTATAACTTGAAGAACTGTATTTCTTTATTTAGATATATCTATTTTCAAATAGAAGATTGAGAGCAAATGGATGGCTACTAAATATTTATTTAGAAAAATTAAATCTAAAAATTATATATCTGTACATATGTGTGTGCGCACACACACACACACACACACACACACACACACACCAGAATTATTTGATAATTACATTCTCCAGAAAATGTCAGAGTGGTCTTTGAATAAAAGTTTATACTCTAAATTTTCCTCTTTTTTTTTTTTTTTTTTGCTCTTTAAGGCTGACAAGGAGGACCTCTCAGACACTTTTGTGCATGTTGAACCCATTTCACAGACTACCAGGAAGGTAGCTCAGACTGCTGAGCTGATCCACTGACCACAGAGTTCTGACAGTCAGGTGCGGAGGCTTCTGTGGCTGCTGTTTTCTATGCTTCACTGCCTCAGTATGTGTTGTAATAAAATGAGCCAGAGAAAAATAAAGCCTGGGTTTTGCTCCATTTTAGTCACTTTTGAGAGGTCCTGGGTAAGTCATTAAATAAATTGTGTCTCAGTTTCTACACTCAGTTTAACAATAATAATCACTGGTTGAGCATTTACCATATTCCAAGTATGTAGAAGGCACAGGGATTTCTAACTGTATTCATAAGTAGGTCATTTTAATGTAACATGGTAGATGAAATGGTAGAGATATGCTCAGGGTGCTTCCGGAGCAGAAGCAAAGTTTGTAAAGTCTAATCCATAGAAAGATACTCGGTGCCTTTCCTACCTGACTCGAGGTATGGTGAAGAAGAGACATGGTGAATGCACTTACTTTTTAAAAATATAACTCAGTGCATTGTTATTAGTGGTAGTTATATAGATAAGTAGTAGACACAGTGGTAGTAGTAAAAGCACTACCAAATATTAAGGCCATAGTTAAATAAGATAGATAAACAGATAGATCAAAGGAATGGAAGAGAAACTCTAGATGTAAATGACAGTGAAGGTGAAATGTCAAATTAGAGAAGAAATTATAGACTTTTAGTAAATCAAGTTCATTATTTGATAGTCATATGGAAAAAAGACAAATTCAGTCTTAAAATCTATTCTAATATAATTTCTAAATGGGTCAGAGATGTAGCAGTAAAAAAAATAATAATGTGAGTACCAAAAGAAAATATGAATGAATGAATAAATTCCTTTATCATCTGGGAGTGAGGAAAACTTTTCATCATAGTTCAGCCTTTAGAAGGAATAAAGGAGAAGACTGATAAATTTGATTATAAACATCATGCCCCTCAAAGGATAAATCAAACAAACAAAGTTAATAAGTCTTGTGTATGGGTGATAACAGAAGAAGCAAGGTTAAAAGACATATGCCAAATGAGGAATAATATTTACATCTACTCTCAGGGTTAATATCTTCAATATATAAAAATAATGTCTTCAATATATAATATCTTCGGAAAATTGAAGGAAAAAGTCCACAACCTCATAGAAAAAATGGACTAGGTATATGATTAAATAGTTCACTGAAAACATTCAAATTACTTTTCAGCAATGAAAAGAAGTTTAACTTTTTCCTTAATAAGAAAAATGTCAATTATACTTCAGTGAAATACCATTTTCCACCCTCATATTGGCAAAAATGAGAAGTGGCAGTGTATTGTGTTGGAGAGACTATGGGGAAATAGGCATTCTCATACATTTTTGGTGAAAATATACAGCATGGTACAATCACTATAGAAGGGAATCTGCCAATATATAGCAGTTACCTATAATTTACTTTTTGATTTAGCAATCCTTTGTGCAGGAATCTATCCTAAAGATATCTAGGGGAAAATGAAACGGGAAATATATATCAAGTTATTCATTAGAACCTACTTAAACGCACAAGTAGAGAAACAACCCAAATGTGCATCAATATAAGACTGGTAAAATGATCAGTGGTTCAACACACAATGGACTACTACGCAGCTATAAAAAAGAATGGAGAATATACAGCTATGAAACAACCCCTAGGTTATATTAAATGAAAAAAGCAGGTGAGAAAAAGTGTGAATAATATGCTACTGCTTAAATAAGAGGAAAAAATACATATACTCAGATACATACACACACATATCAAATTTTCGTATTTTCTTTAATTAAAAAAAAAAATAATTCTTTAAAAAATATGTAAATTGACACAAAAAAAGAATAGGAGAAACTATAGAAATATAAATACCTTGTTGTAGACATAAATTTTACATAATGTGAAATAAAATTTAAAAATACATCAAAGTATTAAAAAATAGAACAAATGACCATAATTGTATATAAAGTCAATGGTTTAGCCAGGTGGAGAGGAACTATACAAAGTGACTTTAATATCATAATAATTTTAGTGAATATTCTTGGGGGTTATAACATGAAAAAAATTGCAAGAAAAATCTTGAGACTTTTTTCAAGCAATCATGTTGCTGGTGTTAGTGTTAGTCTAAAATCATTCAATGTGTCTTTTGAGATAAAACAAATGTGCAGACATAATGCTGTCATTGAGAACCGGGATTTGGGGCATGAGAAGAAGTAGAGAAAAATCTGAGTTTGACAAGGTAGGGTAAAAATCCCATAGCACTGGTTTTGACTAGGGCATTCATGTAATTCAAAATGGTTATTCTCTTAGAAAGAAAGAAAAGAACAATTTCTAGCTTTCTGCACTGAAAAGAACTAGAAACTGTGATAAACTAAGTAGCAATAAGCATCCCCATTGCCAAGGTTGTAGTCTCTAAATATCTAAATAGTATTACATACAAAAAGGAACACTGTTTTTTTTTGTTTTGTTTTTTTTAGAAAGAGTTGATTAAAGGAAGGAAATGACCATAGGCTGTCTTACACCAGGAAGCAAGAAGCAGTCAAAGACAACAGAGGGCTGTCTGAAGGACTCAGGCACCAACATAAAGAGGACCTCACTGCCGAAACATGGAACAATTTGATCATCAATAATTGTAGTGGATTGAAACACATTAAACTTTTTATGTCTATGAATTAACAATAATAGATTTAAAAAATGTTTTATTGACATTTTTCTTTTAGAGAGAGTAGAAAGGAGAGGGAGAGAGAGAAACATTGATGTGAGAGAGAAACATTGCTCAGTTGCCTCCTGCATGTCCCCAGGGATCAAACCAGAGCATGTGCTCTGACTAGGAATTGAACCACTGGCCTCTTGTGCATGGTCCAGTGCTCAACAAACTGAGCTACACCAGCCAAGGTAATAATAGATTTTATTGTTAAAGGCAACTAATAGGTTCCCTTTGGAAAATATTGAAGCTCACCTCATGAATTTGAAAATCTAAAAACAGAGAGAAAGAAATAGATATCTCTTTTTCTTACATAAACTGTACCTCTGTGTGAGTAAATAGTTATTGAGACATTATTTCAGCTAATAAAAGCAGAAGAAATATAAAATATCACCACCTTGCAACTCCCAGTGGAGTGGTTGATTTGGGCAAAACTCATCAATAGGTGCTGATACTGAAAAGACAGATAATCAGACATTCTGCATCTTGGTTGGAGTTCATAACACCACCTATGAAGGAATTTTGCCCCCAAAAAAAAAAAATCTGAATCTGACTAAGTATCTAGGTCTATCAAACAATTTATGGAAAATAAGGAGGAGAAAAACCTGTTGGATGTAATCAGCCAAATCCAGACTATGGGAAATACTGTATTAAATGTTCAGATTTCTTAAACACATTTTTTGAAAAGACAGAGACAAAAGGGAAATATATGTGGCTGAAGAGATATGTCTATTATTTGGACTATATGAGCCTTATTTAAATTTGATTTGAATAAAGGATAAAACAAAAGAAAAAATTTGAAAAATAGGAACAATCTCCAGTGATTAGGTATTTGATGATAAGAAATTCTGTGTGCGTGTGAGATGACATTTTGATTATTTTTAAAAAAGTAACACATATAATATGTATGTTATATACACAAATTGAATGCTGTAATATTTAGTTTTTGCCTAAAAATTGCTGGGAGGGATGAGGGAAAAAATGAGTAAAAATAAGTTGGTAATTGCTAAAGCTGAGAGATAGATAGATGGGGTTCATATATGATTTCCCCCCTATTTTTGTTTATGTTTAAAACATTCCATTATTAAAACCACTTTAACAAGGGAAAACTAAAAGGAGATTGAGGTTATTGATATTCTTGCAGACTCTGTTGTTCCTACAGAATCTACAAATTCTGTGAGTTGAAAGAAAAGCCATAGGGAATCAAGGAGGAAAAAGATATGTCAAGAAAACCATAAAAAGCAAAAAGTTAATATAAAATGTGATTTACTTACATTTTTCTGGCTGATAAATCAGGTTATAATGCATCATATGAAGAGTTATCAGAGCCATAAGTGAAGACATAGAAGGAATAAGTAAAACTAGGACCCACGCCCCGGAGTGCTGAATGTAAGCTATTCCCAGGAAGACAACAGTTGCATTTAGGTTCGTGATCCAATAAAACCTGTGGTACACAGACAGAAAAAAAATAAAAACTGAGTTACTTCAGCTACAAATTGCTAATTTTAATGCTTTTACATAAGTGTAAGCTATATAATAATGGCATGTTAGCCCAACTACATTTTGCAAATATTATTAGATTTCCAAATAAGTTTATACTTATCAGCTGTCTTATCAGTTTCATTATCTTTGTTTCATTTCTATTTAGAAGAGATGTAGAAAGAGTGTTTTCTTTTATCTAAAACAGACGGTGACATATACTTTCTGTAAAGTGGCTGGCATAAATAGCTTGGGCTCTGCAGGTCATATGGTTTCTACAGCAACTACTCAATTCTGTGCTGTGGAGCTAAAGAAGCCATAGACAACTGACTACACTCGATGAACCTGGAAAGTTACATGGTTAAAGAGTTGACTCTTCTTCTTTATTCCTAGGAAAACTCAGGAATATTCAGGTTATAAGCAGACCATGCATTAAATCAAAGGAGTGAGTGTCAGCTGGATAAAACATTCAGTGTCTCCTTCTTGTGAATAGTATTACAAATAAGTAGCTATCTATCTCAGTTGTCTGATTTGCAAGTTGTGGGGAAATCATCTTTATCTCTCAACCTTTCGTTGGGTCTAAATCCTGCTGTTAGAATCCCATTGCAGAGGATGGATCCTTAACATTAACATAAAGATACTGTTGAGGTAAAATTAAATATGATAAAATGTACCCATTTAAATATAAAGTATTATGAGTTTTGATAAATGTTTTAGTTGTGCAAACACTAACAGACCTAAGTTATACAGCACCTACATCATCACTACAATTTATAGGATGCTCTGGGTTAATCAGGCCCACCCAGGATATCAGAATGATCTCCCCTTTGATTACCTCAAAAGTAATAGACTAGACCTTAATTACATTGCAAAATCCCCTCACCTTTGCCATATAACATAACACAATCATAGGGTGGTCTCTCGTCATCTTTGCCATATTTTATTGGGTAAAGTCAGATTCCCAGATTCAGGGGGATGGGTCTGTCAAGAACTGTGACACACGAGGAGTCATCCTATGGCATTTCCTGTACATCTCCTAATTGAAGGAGAGAGGAAATGAGGATGCAGAATTAAGTTGTTAATTAATTAAAGACCAGACTCCTTACCCTGCTCATTCCACTAGCTGGCTGAGGATGGAGGCTTGGCTTCCTGCTGTGCCCAACTGGCACACCCAGGAGGGTAAATTGGAGCACTGCCAGTTTCTGCTGGGCAGGGGATGGAAAACCAGCTCCTCTCTAAGCCTCACTAACACCGCTCAGGCTGGGAAATCGATAATGTCCTTGTCTGCTTCTGCCCAAGGGTGTGTGTGTTTGTGTGTGTGTGTAAAATATCAGATTTCTGTTTTCTGCTGAGACTATGGGGCCTGGGAGGTGTGTGTGAGTGTGTGTGTGTGTGTGGGGGGGGGGGCGTCCATAGCATTCAGCTGAAGTAAGGCAGGTATTGTCAATAAGATATTTTCTTTCTTTATTTAGCAGTTCAATGGTTTTAGATCTTATGTAATGTCAATGATACACTTTGAATTAATTTTTTCAGTAGGGTGACATGGGTAATTTTTTCTATATGATATAAAATTATTTCAACGTAATTGAAAATATGATCTTTTTCCCATTGGTTTTTTTGGCATCTTTGCTGAAAATCAATTGACCACATAAATGTGATTCTTTGTTCTGATTCTCAATTCTGTTCCACTAATCTATCCTTATCCCAATACCATTGTGTCTTTATTACCATTGTTTTTTTTCTTATTTTATTTTAAAAAGCTTTATTGATTTAACTGACATACAGTAAACTGCATGTGTTTAAAGTGTACAATTTGATACGTTTTGAAAATATATGTACCCATGAAATAATCACCACATTAAGAGACTGAACATATCTATCACTCCCCGAAGTTCCTATGTTCCTTTTGTAATCTCTCCCTACTGCCACCCCCTCCCTGTCTCCAGGGCCTACTGATCATTTTTCTGTCATTACAGATTAGTTTTCAATTGATAGATTTCTTTGTAAGTGAAATGATCAAATATGTACTCTATATCTGGATTCTTGCACTTAGCATAATTATTTTGAGATTATTCTATGCTGATGAGTTTATCAGTAGTTGATTCCTTTTTATCCCCAAGGAGTATTCCTTTATATAAATATACCACATTTTGTTTATCCATTTATCTATTGATGGACACTTTTCCCAGCTTATGGTTAATTACAAATAATGCTGTTTTGAACATTCATGTATCAGTCTCTGAATAGACATACACTTTCATTTCTCTTGGGTAAAGCATAGGAGTGGAATAGCAGGGAGATATGTTAGATGCATATTTAACATTTAAAAAAATTTCCAAATGGTTTTCAAGTAGATGTAACATATTTATATTACCACCACATATATATAAGAGTTCTAATACCTCCATATCTTGGGCAACACTTGGTATAGTCAATCTTTATTTTACTCATTTTAATAGATGTCTGGCTTTATTTTGCATTTCCTTAATGACTAGTTACATTGAGCATCTTTTCATGTGCTTATTGACCAGTTGTATACATTCTTTGGTAAAATTTCTATTTAAATCACATGTCCATGAAAAAAATTGTGTTTTATTATTATTATTGAGTTTTAAGAGTTCTTTACATATCCTGGATATGTCCTTTATCAATTATGTGATTTACAGATGTTTTCTTCTAGCTTGTATTTTGTCTTTTTATTTTCTTAACAGTGTCTTTGAAGAGGGCAAACCTAAATTTTAATGGAGTCCAATTATCTTTTTTTATTTTATCTTACAGATCATGCCTTTAGTGTTGTATCTAGGAAATATTTGCTTAATCCAAGGTCCATCTTTTTCAGAGAGGAAATCTGAGCATTGGAAACTGATTTATCCAAATCCTCACAGCAAGCTGTATTGTTGCAGAGCCAGGAGTAGAAGCCACCTGATCTGGTACAATGTCTAAAGAGAGGCTAGCTGGGCTCAGTCATTTTAATACTTCTTTCTGGCTATGGATTTTATGATACCATGGTTTAACATTTGAATTACCTTTCACTAATGGCTCTTAACATGTTTTATACACCATTAATTATAAATATTGTCCTTTCTTTTGGAAAGGTTGTCAGAAGACTTGAGTTTGAATTACAACTCTACAATCACATAATCTGTGATCTGAGGCTCTCTGGACTTTGTCTTTATCTTTAAAATAGGGATTATACCCTCTGCACAGAACTTTTGTAAAGATTGGATGAAGAACACAGACGGTAGCTGTATAGTGCCAAGGAAATGTAGTTGCTGTTCATTTTTTCCAATCTTAATTTCAGGAACAAAAAGAGCCATGAAACCAGAGCATAGTGACAAGGAACAAAGCCTTAGAAAAGAAGATGAAGCAGTTAACTGTGCTCTAGATCTTTTAGGTCCTTGAAATTCATAGTAGGAAGTTTGGACTTTACTTCTAGTGCATTGGGAAACCATCTGAAGGAATTAACCAGGGGGATGAAATGATCTATTTTTAAATGGAAAGAAATATTATTGTGTCATCTCTATGAATTGCAGATAGGGCTTGGTAAGGGGACCAGTCACAGCTTTTGTAATTGTCTGGATGAGAGCTAAGCATGAATTGGGCCATAGTGATAGCAAAGAAAAGGGAGAGAAGTAGATAGATATGTGATATTTATTTGGAAAGATGTGTCCAATTAAGCTAGTCTCCTTCCTATCCTATAAACAGACACGCTCATTCCCATCCCTGTGACTTTCATGTTCTTTGGCTTGCCCTGTCTCATTGTCAAAGTCCCATATCAAATGTCTTTTTCTTCATTTTTCTTTCGAATGTTCTACTTCTTCTTTTCTCTGACCTTATGAAGCAAATATTCATTGTCCAATTTTCACTTCTGTCAGTTTTGTTTTCTTACTTGTGGATGGTCAATTTCTCAGACAGCAGTACCTTATTCTTTTTTTTTTTTAAAGCTCATCTTTATTGTTGAATGTATTACAGATGTACCCTACCTTTTTTTCCCCATTGACCCCCTCTTCTCCAATCCTGCCCCCCTCCAGCCTTCCCCACACTATTGTTTGTGTCCACTGGTTATGCATACATGCATATAAGTTCTTTGGTTTATCTCATCCCACCCTCTGTCCCCCCTTCCCTTTGAGGTTCATCAGTCTAACAACTAATTTGCACTTTTAATTCCTTCATCTTTTTTGCCCATCCCCCCAACCCACCTCCCATCTGGCAACCACCAGAAAGTTCTCTGTATCTATGAATCTGTTTCTGTTATGCTGCTTATTTTGTTTATAGATTTAATTGTTGATAGATATGTATCAACAATTGCCATTTTATTGTTCATATTTTTGTTCTTCCTCTTCTTCAAGAAGACCCTTCAACATTTCATATAATACTGGTTTGGTGATGATGAACTCCTTTAGCTTTTTCTTGTTTGAAAAACTCTTGATATGTTCATCAATTCTAAATGATAGTTTTGCAGGAGAGAGTAGTGTAGGTTGTTGCTTTTCATCACCTTGAATATCTCTTGCCACTCCTTTCTGGCCTGCAAAGTTTCTTTTCAGAAATCATCTGACAGTCTTATGGGAGCTCCTTTGTAGGTCATGAACTGCTTTTCTCTTGCTGCTTTTAAGAGTCTCTTTTTTGGTATTTAATCTTTGGCATTTTGATGATGATGTGTCTTAGTGTGGTCTTCTTTGGGTTCATCTTGTTTGAAACTCTGTGCTTCCTTGACTTATATGTCTGTTTCCTTCACTAAGTTAGGGAAGTTTTCTGTCATTATTGTTTCAAATAGGTTTTCAATTTCTTGCTCTCTCTCTTCTCCTTCTGGCACCCCTATGATGTGAATGTTGGCACTCTTGAAGTTGTCCCAGAGGCTCCTTACACTATCCTCATCTTTTTGGATACGTTTTTCCTTTTGCTCTTCTGATTGGGTGTTTTTTTGCTTTCATATATTCCAAATCGATGGTTTGCTTCTTGGCTTTA